AAAATGGGCTTCCACGTGACATCCACCTGTGCATCTACGTGGCATCCACGTAGTCAATATTTAACTCCGTTTAAATAATTTGGACGGAAGTCCGACATTACAACCAATTAATTTATTAGGGACCAAATTGAGACAAAAAATAAAAGTGGAACTAAATTGAAACAAACAATTATTATAAGGGACTAAAATACTATTTTAGCCTATATATATATATATATATATACTTTATTATAACTTTTAATTAATTCTAGGAGTAAAATTGGACACTTGAACTAAATATAAGTAGAGTTAGCTCAAGAAGGTATAAAATGATTTTCTGAAGTTTCGAATCTCATAACTTATGTTTTAAAAAATTATAGAGAGCAGTTAATAAGAAGTTCTCTAAAAAACTACAGTAGAAACTCTTTAAATTAATACTCGGTAAATTAATAAACTCTCTAAAATAATAAATTTGTCTGGTTCCGACTTGGACCAATGTAAAAAATTGAAAAACTCGATAAAATAATAAGATAATAATTTTTCGAGAGATCCCTTTATAATTTTCGGTCCCAAGAAAATCATAAATTAATAATTCATAGAAACTGAAAAAAATATATTACATATTGAAATATGATTCAATAGTTGTCTGTTTTCCTTTAAAGTTCAAGTCTACTTGGAGCTCATCTCTAACTTTTCTTATTGCATCCAATAGCTCAGGTGTTATATTTTTGTATATATTGTATCATAAAGTTGTGAAGAGTGTTCGACGCCATAAGTGCTTCCTTTCGCATAACAGGCTCCAAAGACACTGTATCATCTTCGCTGTCATCCTCTTTAAATTAATAATTATTAATTTATCGATAAATTAATAACTCTCTATATTAATAAATTTTTTCGATCCTGACATTATTAATTTAAAGAGTTTCTACTGGTTGAAATCTTAGCTTAAGGAGCTAAAGATTTTTAAGTCAAAGTAGTACAAAGTGGTTTTCTTATCCTCTTCTTGATTTGATTCTTCGAGAGGTAAGGAAAGTTTTGTGATTTGAATAATTTGATGTCAAATGCTTATTATTATAGTATTAATTCATCAATTGCATGTTTGAATTGGTGAAGGTTATGAATTGAATATGTTGTGAAGGAATAACTTTGAATAGTGTTCTTAAGTTGATTGGCTGAATCTAGATGTTAGGATGGCTGCACGCGTTATTTTAGATTATTTTTGGATTGTCTATGTGGTATGAGGTTCTTGTTGCATTTTGGGTAGATTAGACAAAATTAAGTTTTTCATAAGTGCAAAAACTAATATCACGTTGGACATAACTCCAAATAAATATATTTGTCTTAATTACGTAGGGCATAGGATTGCCTATGTCAATCTAAACTGACATGGTTTTCCTGACTAGAGCTATCAAATGAGCCAGTTCGTCCTAGTTAATCGTGCAAGTGTGAAAAATGAGTTGATACATCTTAACCTAACTGTTATTATTTTTTTTATTATTATTAATTTTACAAGTAATTTAAAAGAAAAAAAATCTATAAGACCATATAAGTCTAGTACCTTTTAGGCCCAATTTTAAATAACAAGACCTAGTCTAATTAACCCATCAAACCAATTCTAAAAAAAAAAAAAACAAGTCCAATAATAGAGTTAATTTTGACGACTTTAATTTTGACAAAAAATATGTTAATTAATATTAGTAGTGTAATTTATTTAATATTTTATAATCTTATTGTAGCATTGTATAGTTTTACTAATAATTGTTGATTTGATTTAAATATATGTTGTGATGATTGTGTTGCAATTATTGAAAAACTCTAAAATTAAGAAATTTTTTATTTTTTAATTGTTTAAAAATTTATTTGAGTAAAGGTCAAGTTTATAGGGGAAGGTATATAAAGTTTTTCTTTAGTAGTGGACTTTATAAGTTTAATTATTCAAAAAGTTTAGAGAGAAAAACTTTGGACCATAACTTTCTTCCTTTTTCTTCTTACCCTTCTTGAGATCGAAGAAGATCTACAATTGAGTAAAGAGGAGTGATTCTAGTGGCTGAGAGGTGATCTACAACTCCAAAAGTGAAGAAATAAGAATTGAGGATGTTCGAAGCTAGCTCAAAAACCACTGTCTTCTTCCTTTTCCTATGATTCTTGAGGACTTTGAGGTAAGAGAATCTATGCTTGATCTTTGTTGAGTTGCGAAGTTTGTGTTGTTGAAGTTGTGTTGTATTTCTCTCATGAATGGTGGTTAAATTGAATCATGTAAAAGAGATGAGTTGTTGAGTTCTTGCATGTTTTATGACTCTTGAGGGTATGATGATCTTTGCCTTGAATTTGTGGTTGCATGTTATATTTTTTGTTGGAATTGAATTACTTATGATGTATATGTAAGAATTAGTGCAATGCATGTGAGAAATCTTTGAGTTTCAAGTGAGATTGAACAAAATTGCAATTTTTCCAAGTGTAAAAATCACCATGGCACGAGGTGCACATTTATGGGATTGGATGTGACTCAAATAAGTGGTTCTCTGCTCTAATAATGTCAGGCACGAGATTGGTGGCATCATGTGTGAAGAGAGAGAAAAATCTCTAACTTGGTCGCATCGGACGTGGATTGAATGACGTTGGGCATGAAGAAAGAGAAACGTCTTCGACTTAATGATGTTGGACCTTAATGGAAGGGGTGCTAGGCATGATCAAAATAGAGCTCACTATCTAGATGACACTGGGCACTAGTTTAGTGATGTTAAAGTGAATTATATAAAGACTCTCTACTTGAAATAAGGTCAAACGTGAAGTTTGGCCATGCTAGTCGTGATAGTAAAAAAGGTTCTTTGTCTCATCCGCACCAAGCGTAGGTCAAGTGGCATTGAGCGTGGGTAAGCCTAAGAGCTATTCGCCTTAATGATGCTAGGTGTAGGAAGCATGGCGCCGAGCATGGATTGCCTATTTAAAATTTGTTGTTCTTGGCTAAGTGTTGAATATTGAATGAGTAATACGAGAACTTATATGTTGTATGATGTATGATATATGATATCATTTATTTATACATTAATGTATATAATTGATTAAATTGTTGGAGTATAACATGAATTGTAGGTTATACCGCATTGAGTAGTTGTGTTGAGGATGCTTAAGACATGACATTGTGTTGAGTTGATTGACTTATAGTTAGAGGAGAGGTTGTTTTAAAAAGTTGGACATCCCATCACAAAGATATTGTTGTGGTGCTCTACAAACCCAATTATTGAAAACCCTTCTTAAATAGTTAACCCTTAAAGTGGGTAGTTGAATATTCTCTATGATTTCAGTTGATACGGTACGTGAGTAAGGTTGAGACATATTAGCTATAAGCAACCACAATATGGGGGTTTGTTTGAGCTACATTGATTATAAAGCGACTAATGTTGATTTGTATGTGGGCAATGTCAAGAAATACATGCATAAAGTGATCAATCGAGTAAGGTACATGGTTAAGAGCCAAAATCCCTAATAAGTACTAGAAGAGCGTAGTATTTTGAAGATAGTCGATGTGCTAATTCCATAAGTGACTTAATTATGCAAAATAATGTTGTGATAAGCTAACATCCAAGTTGTTATACTTTAGCAGGAATATTAAGCTTCCTAGTTTAAGTGGCGAAATTTGAGAAACCATTATGTGAAATTTTATTCAAATTGACTGTTAATCTAGCTGAATTGAAAAGATCATGTTGTTGTTAGTTTGGTAATGTCAAATCACTCAGACCACTCACTTATAGAAGGTCTCCTAGTTGAAATGCATGATGACACATGTAGTTGATTCTTTGTGCATATGTGGTTGAGTTATTGAGTTGTGTGATGCATATGCCATGTTGTAGTGTTGTGCATTTTGAATGATAAGTTATGCATGTGATGCATTGATATTTTATGTTGCTCACATGTCATGTTAAATTGTGATGAGTTACAGTGTTATGTTATTCAAGTTGAAGAACATATTGTAATATGTTGAAATAAGTTGAATTGTTTATGTGGGTAATATAATTGTTTTATTTCCATACTTCTTATGTTAATTTCTTTTGAATATTAGTTTGTCCTTGTGTGTTTTCATATAACTGGACTGTGATAATCATACTTGATATGAAAATAGAGGAGAGATAGGCCGCCAAAAGAGTTTGTATTAAGGTCATGTTAGTGATAATAATGCTGAATAATAGTAGTGTTGCTTAACCAACAATTAAGATTTATTTTTCATACTCTTATACAAGATTAATATATATATATATATATATATATATATATATATATATGTATATATACACATATTATGACATTTATATTCATGTATTATAAGTATATTAATCATAAGTAGTTATATTTATATTTTTTTTTACTGTTAATAGTTGAATTGTTTAATATAGTGACCTAATTATTATACTTATAAAGTTTCTAATTTTTTATTATATAATTGACTGAAACTTATTAAAAATTATAAATTTTAGTAAATTTTATCGTTAAAGAAACATATTAAATAAATAATAAATTTACTAAATTTATGATTTTTAATAAATTTTAGTGATAATAAAGAAGCATTTATGAAGAAACACCGGAGAAAGTGATCTATCATTCTTTTATTATTATTATTATGGAGTGTTGGAGAAACATTTGAGCATTTGGTGGTTAATGGATTTTGGTTGGGACTGGTTGTTGCAAGTGTAACAAAGAGTCAATCAATATAAGGAGAAAGAAAGAATTGCGTTATTACGTCAGCAGAGAATGGAAAACAGCACGTGTGACGACATAGATAGCGTCATGTTCCAAAGTATGAATGATAAAAGGATAAAGCGGATAAAAAGAGTAAAGAGTAGGGACAAAATGGTCCAATCAGACCTGAGGCTGTGGCAGTGCCACCCTGTCTGCTTCTCTTTTCTTTCTTTTTTACCTTACCTGCAATGCAAACTTGACTTCAGATTTCAACTCCGTTCTGCACTCTATTTCTCTGAATCACATTATCTTTGGTTTTGGTTTGAGAGAGAAAGCAAAAAACAACAATGAAGTTTATGAAGTTAGGTTCCAAGCCTGATGCTCTTCAAGCTGATGGAAACTCTATCAGGTCAGTGCCACTAGTCACCTCAAACCTCTTTCTCTGCTTTCATTTCCTTCTTATTTAGATCCTGCATGCATTTTGTACCACACTTCATCATTCAACTTCAATAACACTGTCATTTCATCATACATGATTACATGCATTTAAGCTTAGTCAGCCACTATAACTCAGGAACTTGTTGACTTCAAATAAAGACCAAGATTTGTCCACACCCCTCTTGTTAGAATTAATGTTAACATTCTAATTTTATTGCTGGTTGCTAAAAACGGTGAGACAAAGAGATCGTGGTCCATCCTTTGAAATTTGTCACGAGGTTGTGGTCCAACTATGGTAAAGTGATGTGGAGTAACATCATCTTCAATTATGGCTGGACACAAGCCTTTTTAATAAAAACAATATTAATATACTCAACGTATCTGTTTTCTTCACCTCATTAATGGGCCCTGGGAAAATATGCAAGGGGGGGAATTCATGCAAAAGGACTCGTTCCCCGATATTAATAAGGTTAAAGAGTTTCACTTGTGGGTGGAATGTTTTAAAGATGTAACTTAACATGGTTTGGTGACTTTTCTGTCTGTTCTAAAGCATGCTTGAAAATGAAATGTCACCTGTCATGCGTGTGGTATGTGTACGTGTGCAAGTAAGAGACAACTTTGGTTAATCAATATTAATTTGGTAGTGCGTCCAATTACTTATTAACTGGGATTAAATTGTTTTGTTTTAAATTTATTGATCTTCTACGCAAGTTCAAATTTCTTCCCATGAGGATGAGTCGGACAATTGCTTTTCTTCCCAGAGATTGTTTTCAGGGAAATGGTATTTTTGTCAAAAGTTCTCTTAGGAAGAAGTTGGAAAGAAAAACTATTATTTCTTCAAAATAAGCTAATCCAAATACGCAAACTTTGGATCTGCCACTATAATATGTAGAAAAGGTTTCTTTTTTACTTCAAACATATAATCAGGTTTTGGCCTTGGGAGCTATTTGATTGCTGATAAGATGGGAACAATGTGCAATAACAGATGAACAGCATGCATCTTAGTTAAACTATTTTAGCTGAAGGACCTCACTTCCTGGCATAGTTTTAATTTCACCATACATATTAGCAGGGGGAGGGAGAGAGAATGTTTCATGCATACCCATTTAGTTTTCCTTACAAAAATCTGTCCTTTATATGCTTATCAAACCAAATTTAATTATCATGCAGGTATGTGTCATCTGAATTGGCTACAGATGTTACCATTAATCTTGGTGATGTTAAGTTTTATCTTCACAAGGTACACACTTTTTTTGGCATCTTAACTTTTATTCTGTTGGTGTCAAAAAAAAAAAAAACTTTTGTTCTGTTCAGTACACAAACTCATTATTTTATTTAATTAATCTAGTGAAATAATATGTAGGACTAGTTTCACAAAATAATTTAGGTTGCAGTGATTTGGGGAATATTCTTCATTCAATACTACCAGATTATGCAATGAAACATTTTTTTTTTTGTATTTTTAATGTGATTGGGCAAGTTTGCTTTCTTATATGTGCACTTGGTGTGCATTTTTCCCCCCTCGAATGTGTGGGTTTTAGGAGACACAACTAGCTTTTTGCTTCCTCCCTTTGTTGTTAACTAATGTTGAGCTTTTAAGAGTTGCAGTTTCCTCTACTGTCAAAGAGCAACCGACTACAAAAATTGGTATCTAAAGCTAATGAAGAGAATTCTGATGATATTTACTTGGATAATTTCCCTGGCGGGCCAAAGGCCTTTGAAATATGTGCAAAATTCTGTTATGGAATGACTGTTACTCTTAATGCTTACAATGTTGTAGCTGCTCGTTGTGCAGCTGAATACCTTGAGATGACTGAGGATGTTGATAGAGGAAACTTGGTTTTAAAGATCGAGGTGTTTCTTAGCTCAAGTATATTACGTCGCTGGAAGGATTCTATAATTGTTCTCCAAACTTGTAGATCTCTTCTGCCATGGTCTGAGGATTTGAAGATAGTTGGAAGATGCATAGATTCCATAGCTTCTAAAACTTCTGTGGACCCAGCATACATCACTTGGTCTTACACTTATAATAGGAAGTTAACTGAAACTGATAAAATTATTGAGGACAAGATGACATTTCTAGAGAAAATTGAGTCTGTTCCTAAGGATTGGTGGGTTGAAGACATATGTGAGTTGGACATTGATCTTTACAAACGAGTAATGGTTGCTGTGAAATCAAAGGGAAGAATGGATGGTGTTGTGATTGGGGAGGCACTAAAAACCTATGCATTAAGATGGATACCTGATTCTGTTGATACATTGGTTTCTGATGCCAATGCCTCAAGGACCAAATCTGTGGTAGAAACAATTGTTTGTTTATTGCCATATGATAATGGCTTCGGTTGTTCATGTAGTTTCTTGCTGAAGCTATTGAGAGTGGCCATATTAGTTGAAGCAAATGAGTCATCTAGAGAAGAATTGATGAAGAGCATTGGCCTCAAATTGCATGAAGCCAGTGTCAAAGATTTATTGATTCCAGCAAGGTCTCCCCAAATTACCACATATGATGTTCTTTTGGTACAAGGTCTTTTGAGTCAATACATGAATCACGAAAAGGGAAGCCGCGGTATGGAGGTTGTTGAGGAGAAACATGGAGGGGAAGATAAATGTATTTTAGCATGTGGATCTTTATTGAATGTTGGCAAGTTGATGGATGGTTATCTTGGAGAAATTGCACATGATCCTAATCTTGGCCTCTCTAGTTTTGTTGATTTGTCACAATCCATTCCAGGTTTTGCTAGGCCAGATCATGATGGTCTATACAGAGCTATAGACATCTACTTGAAGGTTGGTTTTTGTTAACTCTCCATAGTTTTGTTGGCTATTCCTGCTGAGTTCAACTTCTTAA